TCAGCCTTTCAACATTTGACCCCGTTGAAGGACTTCCTGCTCTTAGTTTTCATGACTAGTCTTATTATTTATTATCTCACTGGTTGCCTCTCCTCCATTTTTCTGGTTGGCTCCTCTTCTTCTGACCAGGATCTAAATGTTTGAGTGACCAAGGGCTCTGCCCTGAGGGACACCACACTCCATTGCGCCAGTTATGTCCAGCATATTTCCAGAGGCTGCTGCTAATGATATCTTTTCAGCAATTGTGCCACTTGACCGGCCTCATATCCCAGGTTATGAAGTATAAAGCCAGACACCTTGAGTTCTTCCATTTAATCTCTTTAGGGCCTTGAGAAAATTACGTTATCTCTCTATAAACTCAGTTTCTTCAACTGTAACATGGAGATAATAATGGCATCTACTTCATAGGCTGTTTCTGAGGATTAAATATGTAAATGCATGGAATCCTTAGAAAGCCTATTGTTCTCAGTATGTGTTCCATAAGTGTTAGATCTTACCATTATTGTCATTCAAAGCTCTAGCGGGGGCATTTTGTGACAGTTAAATATTAGAGTGACTATCTTCAGTTACTGACAAATGATGTTTTATAATGGAAACGTAGTCCTCTCATTGTCATTCAGTGGGTATTCTCATTAGTACACAGAAGAATATCCCTGGAAAAAGAAAATACAAAAATATGGTGCCTACATATTAAATAGAGACTGAAATTGGATGCTAATTGCTGAAAGCTCAGATCAAATATTTATGTTGCAAGAAGTTCCCTTATCTTTTCTTTTTTGGTATCTTGTTTCAAACAAAATGTGTAAGAAGAGCATCAGATGTGAGGCCACCTTCTTTAATTTTTCATTTTGTAGTTTACTGTACTTGTAGTCAGAGCAGAGGAACATGCAGTTATATTAAATTAATCAAAATGTCTGGTCTGTTAAATGGCCTTATGAAAGTGAAGTAAAAACATGTCAGTGAAATCTTCCTTCAGAAAGATTTGCAATTTTATTTAAAAAAAAAGTAAGATTGGTTTGTTCTTCATTACTTGTTCAAAGAAAATAGCTTTAGTGAGTTTATCCAGCCTTCTCTGTTTTCTTTGAATACTTTGCTGTCTTCATCTGTTTCAAATTTGTCCCTAGCATTCCATTCATTCCTTATGTGATTATGATGTTCTAACAAATGGGCATGCCCATTATTAGTGAAGAGAGAACAGACATTTAGGGGAAAAACATGAAATACAATGTTCATTATTCTTTGATAGTCATTTCTCCATAATTGAAATCTTTTTGTTGGGTTTATTTTGACATGTATTTCTTACAGATTAAAATGTATATGTTATAATAATACATAATTTCAAAGCATATTTTATAATGAATTTGTTATAATTCTATAGTTTCTGATTATATTTAGTCAGGTGTTCTTTAAAAAAAAATGACTGATGTTCCTCCACATTCAGTCATTGTCCTGAGAAAATTCACCTTAGTAAGTTTAATAACAGGAACTGTTGGCCAACGTAGCTCCCACTGCATGATTTATTGGCACTATGATACAGGCATTAGGTTGAATGATAATTATGCAGGGATATTATCCGGATGGGAGACATGCCCCTTTTGTTCAATATAATGACTCTGCTGACATACCCAAATGATTATAGGCATTATTATTTTGTGACACAATAGATAGATATGGATATGGATACAGATAAGATACAGGTATCATACTCTGAAATTCTCTGAAACCTGTTTGATTAAATATTTTGTATATATGTAAAGGATATGGATACAGGACAGAAGCAATAAGCTGGTGATTCTGTTGCCAGGCATGCTTGCTCATGTCTCTCCCACTTTATACAGAGCAGGGCATTATCTGATCTTAATCTACATCTTCAAAAAAAAAAAATCTACATCTTCCTCTCACCCTGGTGCAAGCCATCACCTGGCCTGAACTACTGTGGAAACTTCCTTAAGTTCTCTCCCAATCCCCTGTTGCTCAATTTGCCATTAAAAGAGCACGTTACTGACATATTTAAAACATTCAGTGGGCCCCTGTTATTCATAGAAGTCCCAAATCCTCACCGTCCCCTGTATAGTCTTGCCTATTTTGTCCACTTTATCTTTTGACAAATTCTTGCCACTTCCTCTGCTTCATCCATGAGTTCTCTCTCAAATGGGCTAAGGTCATTTCCATTCTGGCAAAATCCCCCACGCTGTTCCAATGCTTAGGAGGCATTTTTTAAATTTCTTCATCCAGGTAACCTTTATCACCTTTCAATTTTGGTATATTTGTTTCTGCCTCAGTACCTTAGCAGCCAGGATCCCAGAACAGATGCTCTCATAACCTCCTTTACTTCTCCATAATAGCAATTATCACAGTAATTAAAAACTAGTGGTATTACTGTTAGTTTATTGCCAGTTCTTGCCTCTCAGTCTTCAGCTCCATGAGGGAAAAACCATACTTGTCATTTCAAGGAAAGCTTTTTACATACTGTTAAAACACAATTAAAGGGCAGCACGGCTCGGCGGTTTAGCACTGCCTTCAGCCCAGGGCCTGATCCTGAGGACCCGGGATCGAGTCCCATGTCGGGCTCCCTGCATGGAGCCTGCTTCTCCCTCTGCCTGTGTCTCTGCCTCTCTCTCTCTCTCTCTCTCTCTGTGTCTCTCTCTCTCTGTCTCTCATGAATAAACAAAATCTTTAAAACACAATTAAAGATAAATATATATTTATCCTATTAGTTTCATGAATTTAAGTGCCTTTTTAAGGGTTTGCTAAAAAACAGTAGAATTTTCCCTCCATGTTGAAAACTTTGTTACAGTAGTCCCAAACGCTGTTGGGTTGTAATTTTGAAATTGTAAAGTGTATTATGGGAAACTACATTTATTTAAATTTTGTTTTAGAAATGTGCTGGTATTCTCTTAGTGTTATGAGCTATGTTTTCCATGAGAGATTAATTTTATCCAACAATCAAGATAATTATTTTAAACTGGCTTCACTGACTTCGCTCTTATCCACCCAGTCCACATAAAATTACTGTATAGTTTCTCTCCAAATTAGGAGCATAACAAAAACCATATTTCTCACTTGGTAATATGACTTTCCAAATAAAATGGAGAGACTAACAGATTGCTTTTAAGATACAATACAGAATGTCAGTTTATTGTGACTTTCTCCAACCTTCTTCTTTCCCCCTCCTTTATGGGCTCAGAACAATATATTCCAGTTACAGACAAGGAGAATATGTGTAGTTTGAAAAATATATTCACATTGTTTCTACTTGTTTCACCTCCTATCCCTTAGCCGATAATCGTGTCTCTATTTTGTAGCAATGGATCTTCTTATGATTACAATTATAACATCCATAGCGACAGATTCTCCACAGGGAGTTCAATGCTTCTGAAACTAAATTTAGCTTCTCATTTCTTGTCTTCATTCTGACATAAACATTCCCATAAAGATTTTAGTAATTAAGTAGAAACAGATGCAGAGCTCAACTATATACAGTATTTGCTTTAAAAATATTATGTTATTTGAATGCAATGGAAATTTCATCTCCCATTAACCAATCTAAAACTCTTAAATGCTCTCTTTGTATGGATTATGGCTTCCTATGGAACATTTCCATATCTCCCTAGAACAAATAGACACATTATATGTAGACACATTGATTTTGCTATTGCAAAGACAGGTTATTGATAGGAACAATAATTGCTGATTTTGTCAACAGGATAAAAAACCAGCAATTCCAGAGATCAAAAATATACTTTTACATGTGGAAAAAGTAAGAAAAAGAGAGAGAGAGAGAGAGAGAGAGATCTTATAAGAGTGTGGGTCAGCCAGTTATTTTACATTAATAAGATTTGCTGGGGGGATCCCTGGGTGGCGCAGCGGTTTAGCGCCTGCCTTTGGCCCAGGGCGCGATCCTGGAGACCCGGGATCGAATCCCACGTCAGGCTCCCGGTGCATGGAGCCTGCTTCTCCCTCTGCCTATGTCTCTGCCTCTCTCTCTCTCTGTGACTAGCATAAATAAATAAAAATTAAAAAAAAAAAAAATAATAAGATTTGCTGGATAATCATTAAATGTGACTTGGGCTTGTTACAGCCATACTATTTTTCAGAGTTCTACAGCAGATATTATAATCAACTACGTCTTAAAGGTGGTCAGTTTTCTGCTTGGATTGCATAAAGAAAGGTGGCCATCAGTTCTATGAACCCAAAGATCATGTTGACCTTTATATACTGGAGACAGACTGCAGAAACTACCTCAGCTGTGGACCAGGTCAAGTTATGGGTTCCTGACCTCTTTTCCATGACCCATATGCAACAAACTTCTCAATTTGGCATTTGGGCTCCTTTTGCTTATGTGGAGAGTTAATATAATAGATATTTGTTCTTCTCTTATACATGCTAGTACTGGATTTAAGATATTTTTCACATGTACCCAACAAAACCCTGCTATTACTTTCTTCTGGTAAGCTACTGGTTAAGAAAATATGGTTAACTAGGTGGTCTGTAATACCCCAAGACTAAAACATGAAAAATTCTCTCTTTTATTAAAATATATCAGAACTTTAAAATTCTGCCCTAATAGATTAGGATGCCGTTTTAATATTTTTTAAACTTAATTCAAATATTTCTTTATAAGTTACAAATCTATAAACTTTTAATAAATTTATTATATAGACCATGCCATATTATTTATATTTTATGGTAAGTATTGATTATTAATTTCCATCTAGCTATTTCTTATTTCATAAATCTAAATTTTAAAGATTTAAGGTAGTGGGAGTTGTCTTCTGCATTTATGTTTTTATTCAATAATTTATTTATTAACCTTTTAACAAAAACATTACTGAGTATTATTATACATCTGGTAATGCTCTAGGTATTATGAATGCAATTTAAATAACATAAATCTTCTCCCTCCGTCTGAATATCTGTGCATGATTAGTGTTGACAGGTGATTGCTTTTCAATCTATATATACTTAAGTTGAAATTATTTTAATCTTGATTTTCTTAGATTTGCCTCTAAAACGTGAATTTGAATATGAAATTCAATTTGAATCTGAAGCTATGAAGTCTAACTTGGGATCCTGTGTAGCTTTATATATGATCAAAAAATTTTATCACATCAAAGATGAAATGATAACATTGGTCTTCAATGTGGTGTTTGCACCAAAGAAACCATTGAGGTAAACTTTTTTCTTTAAATAATATTATGACTCTTTGAAACTACATATTATTACTCTTTTAAACAAAATGTTGATTTTTCTTTCCATTTTTTATATTTAGATTGTATTACTACTTTGATGCTACTGAGGTAAATATTTTGGGCTAGATTCTCTCTAGCTATCAAGCTCTGAAAAATATTCTGATAAAGAAAAAAAAAAGTTAAAATGATTAGAAGTCTAAGAAATCCTTCACAAACTGTGAACTCCCAAAGGTCATTAGGGTAGAATATTCACAAAAGAGTGGTGCACTCCGTAAATTTTTTTCAAAAACCACTGCCTTGGTGCTGTCCATTGGCAACATGATGTTTCTCTCTCTCTCTCTCTCTCTCTCTCTCTCTCTCTCTCTTAGATTTTTATTTATTTTTTAAAAAAGATTTTATTTATTTATTCATGAGAGACACAGAGAGAGAGGCAGAGACACAGGCAGAGGAAGAAGCAGGCTCCGTACAGGGAGCCCGAAGCGGGACTCAATCCTGGGTCTCCAGGATCACACCCTGGGCTGAAGGCGGCGCTAAACCTCTGAGCCCCACCCCCCACTCCCCCCCCACCCCCGCCCCAGGCTGCCCTCTCTTAGATTTTTAAATTTGAGAGAGAGAGAGACAGAGAGAGAGAGACAGAGAGACAGAGAGAGAATGGGGGGAGGGCAGAGCTACAGAATTTTCAAGCAGGCTCCCTGCTGAGCACAGAGCCCAGTGAGGGGCTTAATGTCACGATCCATGAGATTATGACCTGAACCAAAATCACCAGTCAGACACTTCCCTGCTGAGCCACCCAGGCACCCCAACATGATGTTTCTGGATACTACTTCTCAGAACCAGTTCGAATGATTAAAAATGCTTCAGCTGGGGATCCCCGGGTGGCGCAGCGGTTTGGCGCCTGCCTTTGGCCCAGGGCACGATCCTGGAGACCCGGGATCGAATCCCACGTCGGGCTCCCGGTGCATGGAGCCTGCTTCTCCCTCTGCCTGTGTCTCTGCCTCTCTCTCTGTGACTATCATAAATAAATAAATAAATAAATTTTTTAAATGCCTCAGCTGTGTTCTACTTCATAGTTGCTTTTATCACCAAAACTATAGCATTGCACATCCTGTAGTAAGATTTAAGAGGATCATATTGGAATCTCTGAGAATAGTGACCTCTGAATGTCTTTCTTCTGGGAAACCGCATCCAGTGTCTTTATATTTACTTGCTGGGCAACTGGTACTTAGCACATGCAAATGCTGCATCTGAAACAGGGATTTCTTTATGTCTTAATGCAGACACTGATCAGTACCACAATACACACAAAGTACAAAATACGGGGGTGCCTGGGTGGCTCAGTTGGTTAAGTGTCTGCCTCCTCAGGTATTGATCCCAGGATCCAGAAGCTCTGAGTCTGGCTCCCTGCTCAGAAGGGAGTCTGCTTCTCCCTCTGCCTTTCCCTGCTACTCGTGATCTCTCTCTCTCCCCCTCTCTCAAATAAATAAATGTATAAAACCTTTTTTTAAAAAGGTACAAAATACAATCTAGCAATGAAAAGACAGCTAAAGTATTAGCTGTGTTTTTAATTATTTCTGTAATTTAACTATGTATAGCCAGGCAAGTATTTAAAGTGGTTTTGAATATGTAGTTCAATCACTAAAACATATGAGGGTCATCTTCAGAAACCAGTAATAAAAACCAAGCTACAAGAAGATAGTATACTGTAAACATTTATCTTCTTTTTCATTATGATAGTTTTCTGTGTTTATTTCATAAGTATTTTTTTCACATTTAGATTTGTATTTTGTTGACTTAGTGATATAGAAATTACCAGCAACAACCAGAAAGAGAGTATGTTTTCATTGGTGAATATGAGCACTACCGTGTGAATTTATACCTATTCAACATTTTGTGGATTTAGAGTTTCTTGGTGAATGTTTGCAAACCTGATTTAGGACAACTTGTATGCATGATTCATAAATTTTTGTGTGTTGTGTGATATTCTGATGTAGTTTAAGAATTCCGTTTAAATATGTATATATTCGTTTACTTTTGTCATTCCTTCTTCCTTATTTATTTGAGGTGATTTGCTGGAAGACATACAGTTAAATGAGAAAAACCAAAATAAAACCAACAGCTCTAAATTATGAAAAACAACAAGAAAATAATTATACCTAAGCCATGTTTTACCTAGATAAGTGAAGAAAGTAAAATAACTTAAAACAATCAAATAATTTAAATAATTTAAATTAAAATTGCAATTTAATTTTTAAAAATCTTTAAGGTAGTTTTATGAGCTTTGTAAGTATCCAGAGAAAATATTTTTCTACATGAATCAAGAATTGAAAAAAACCTCCTCACAATGTTTCCTTTTGAACAAAATTTCCATACAGACCTATTTGTATAACGCCTGGTTCCCTTCACTGACCTCACCTTGGATTTTTTTTTTATAGTGGTTATGATCCACTAAATTTGCTTATTTTTTTAAAATTTTTTATTTATTTATGATAGTCACAGAAAGAGAGAGAGAGAGGCAGAGACATAGGCAGAGGGAGAAGCAGGCTCCATGTACCGGGAGCCTGATGTGGGATTCGATCCAGGGTCTCCAGGATCGCGCCCTGGGCCAAAGGCAGGTGCCAAACCGCTGCACCACCCAGGGATCCCCTCACCTTGGATTCTTAAATATTATCATATTCTGTGCTGGTTACAGAAAATTTGCAGTCAATTCTGCATATTCTACTGGTTCTTAGTAAATAACTAGAGAGTAGATAAGATGTGCTGCAATATATTTATCTCACAAGGAGATTGATAATATAACGAAAGACCTAAAAATTATTCCTAAAATGTAATTAACGGTCACCTGCATTTAAGTCCCAGCCTTTTTACCAACATCACAAGGTTTACTAACGTTTTCTGCATGGATGTTGATCTGCTCTATTATATTCTCTTTTTGCTCGTTTTCCTGTAGTATCCTCTGTAATCTCTTTTTATATTTAAGGACGCAAATTACACTGAAAATTGAGTGCATAACAGATGGGATTTGGAAGTTTCCCATAACGTTGGTTGCAACTGAGCCTGATGTGGATGATGTCATTGATATTGAAGGCATTGGTTTATTTAAGGAATCAGTTGTTGACTTCAGACTGACAAGTCAGACAAGGTAATATATCTAGCGAGAGTATGTAACAGGTTTTGTAAATGTAATTTTTGCTGAATTGAGAAACAAAATTTAAGATGAAAAATTCTATTATGTCCTCTTTTGCTGTGTAAGCCAGAGGAATATTGCTTCTATCAATGAAAGCTTTATATATTTCATAATTTTTCAATAAAAAATTAGAAAAATAGTCTACAAAGTGAGGACCAAGAAAACAGGTAACAAAAGTAAGTAGATGCTGAAATTTAGGATAATAGTTCTATTTTTTTAAGATTTTATTTATTTACTTATTTATTTGAGAGAGAGAAAGAGAGCACACGAGTATTGGGAGGGGCAGATGGAGAAAGAGAGAGAGAGAGAATTTTAAGCAGACTCTGTACTGAGTGCAGAGTCCAATGAAGGACTTGATCTCAGGACGCTGAGATCATGACCTGAGCTGACACCAAGAGTCAGATGCTTAACTGACTGAGCCCCCCAAGCACCCCTCTGTTTTTCAAAGGATGTCATTAATGTATTTTTATAGCCCACTCTCCTTAAGTTTTTATTTTCAATTCCAGTATAGTTAACATACAGTGTTATATTAGTTTTGGGCGTGCAATATAATGATCAACAATTCTATACATCATTCGGTGCTAATCATAATAAGTGTACTCTTGATCCCTTTCACCTATTTCACCCATCCCCCCACCTCCCCTCTGGTAACCATCAGTTTGTTATCTATAATTAAGAGTCTGTTTCTTGGTTCATCTCTCTTTATTTTTTTCCCTTTTCATTTGTTTTGTTTCTTAAATCCCACCTGGGAGTAAAATCATAAGGTGTTTGTCTTTCTCTGACTTATTTCATTTAGCATTGTACTCTCTCCCTCCATCCTTGCTATTGCAAATGGCAAAATTTTGTGCTTTTTTATGGCTGAATAATATTCTATTGTGTGTATATGTGTGTGTGTGTGTTTTTACCACTTCTTTATCCATTTATCTATCAATAGATACTTGGGCTGCTTCCATAATTTGGCTATTGTAAAAAAAATGCTGCAATAAAAAATAAATGTATATTTGGGCTACATATATCTTTTCAGATTAGTGTTTTTGTATTCTTGGGTAAATACTCAATAATGAGATTAGTTGATCATAGGGTAGTTCTATTTTTAATTTTTTGAGGAAGCTCTATGCTGTCTTCCACAGTGGCTACACCAGTTTACATTCCCACCAACTGTACACAAGGGTTCCTTTTCCTCCACACTCTCACCAGCACTTGTTGTTTTTTGTGCTTTTGATTTTAGCTATTCTGACAAGTGTGAGGTGATATCTCATTGTGTTTTTTTCTTCAAGTTTTTGTTAAATTCCAGTTAGTCAACATACAGTGTAATATTAGTTTCAGGTGTGTAATACAGTGGTTCATTATCTCCATACAGTAGCTGATGCTCATCACAAGTGCCCTCCTTAATCCCCATCACCTATTTCATTCATCCCCCCACCCATCTCCCCTCCAGTGACCCTCTGTTTTTTCTGTATAGTTAAGAGTCTGTTTCCTGGTTTGCCTCTCTTTTCCCCCCATGTTCATCTGTTTTGTTTCTTAAATTCCACATGAAAGTGAGATCATATGATATTCGGCCTTCTCTGACTGACTTATTTCACTTAGCATAATTCTCTCTAGCTCTATCCACATCGTTGCAGATGGCAAGATTTCATTCTTTTTGATGGTTGAGAAATATTCCTTTGTATACTTTTACCACCTCTTCTTTATCCATTCATTAGTAAATGGATATTTGGGCTCTTTCCATTGCTGATAATGCTGCTATAAACATGCAGGTGCATGTATCTCTTTGAATCAGTATTTTTGTCTCTTTTCAGTAAATACTTAGTACTGCAATTGCTGGATCATAGGGTAGTTTTATTTCTAAATTTTTTAAAAAAGGCTTTATTTATTTATGTTAGAGAGAGAGAGAGAGCCCCCATGCATATAAATGGGAAGAGGGGCAAAGAGGGAGAAAGCAGGAAAGGGAGAGAATCTCCAGCAGACTCCACACTGAGTGCAGAACCCGCCAGGGGGCTTCATTTTATAACCCTGAGATCATGACCTGAGCTGAAACCAAGAGTTAGATAATTAACCAACTGAGCCACCCAGGCATGCCTTATTTTTAGCTTTTTGAGGGACCTCTGTAGTGTTTTCCAGTGTGGCTAAACCAGCTTGCATTCCCACCAACAGCACAAGAGGTTTCTCCTTTCTCCACATCCTCATCAATACCTGTTGTTTCCTGTGTTGTTAATTTTAGCCATTCTCACAGCCATGAATTAGTATCTCATTGTGGTTTTGATTTGCATTTCACTGATGACAGTGATGTTGAACATCTCATGTGTCTTTTGACCATCTGTATGTCTTCTTTGGAGATATGTATGCTCATGACTTCTGTCCATTTTCTAATTGGATTATCTGTTTCTTGAGTTTGAGTTGTATCAGTTCTTTATACATTTTGGATACTAACCCTTTATTAGATATGTCATTTGTAAATACCGTCTCCCATTCAGTGGGTTGTCTTTTAGTTTTGTTGATTGTTTCTTTTTTGGGCAGAAGCTGTTTATTTTGATGTAATCCCAATAGTTTATTTGCTTTTATTTCCCTTGCCAAAGAGGACATATCTAGAAAAAAAATTTAAAGATAGATGGAATATTTTTCAGTAAACTTTAATGGTTTGGGTTTAAGAAGTGGTTTAACTAGTTAGAGATGACTGGGTAACCTATATTGATTCTATTTTCTTTGTTATTATTCTGTTCCACCATAGCTACCCTAGTTATACTTGTGATAACATAGGCAGCATGACCACAGTACTTTTACTAATCTCACATGTAAAACACATTTTACACCTGTTTTTGAGATATAATGAACATGTCGTAAAATTTCATTGTAAGTATACATCTTAATAATTTCTTTGAAAAAATTATAGAATTTGCAATCATAACCACATTCTAGGTTTAGAACTCTTCCATTTCCTTCCAAATATCTCTCAACCCCCTTTGCACTCAACCCCTGCTCCCACCCCCAGTCTCAGGCAACCAGTGATTTGCTTTATGTCTCTATAATCTTGCATTTTCTAGATATTTCATATAAATAAAATAGCCCAATATGTAGTATTTCTTAAACTATTTTTAAACAGTGTTAGGTTTATGACAGAATTGAGAAGAAGGTGCAGAGATTTCTCATATACCTCCTGCCCCAACTCTATGCATAGCCTTTCTGATAGTCAACTTCACTTCACCCACTGGAATGGTACATTTTTTACCGAGGATGGGCCTACATTTATCATCATAATCACCCAAAGTCCATAGTTCCCTTAGGTTAGTGTTATACATTCTATTAATTTGGAAAGAACAATGGCATATATACATCATTATAATATACAGAGTATTTTCACTGCACTAAAAAATTCCTCAGTGCTCTCCCTATTTAACTCTCTCCCACCCTGGGAAACCTAGTCTACTAGTTTTGCCTTTTTCAGAATGTTCAATAATTGGAATCATATAGTATGTAGGCTTTTCAGACTGGCTTCTTTTGCTTAGAGATATGCACGTAAGGTTTATCCATGTTTTTTCATGGCTTGGTAGCTCATTTTTTTTAGCATTGAGTAATCCACTGTCTGGATGTACCACAGTTTATTTACCCATTCACCTGATGAAGGATGTCTTGGTTGCTTCAACGTTTTGGCAATTGTGAACGAAACTGCTGCAAACATCTGGGTACAGGTTTTACTGTGGATATAAGTTTTCAAGTCTTTGAGGTAAACACCCAGGAGCATGATGCCAGATCTTATGATGAGGGTATGTTTAGTTTTATAAGAAATTGCCAAACTATCTTCTTCCTTTCTTTTTGCAATTTATTTTTTTTAATTATTTTTTTATTGGAGTTCAATTTGCCAACATATAGCATATAGCCCAGGGCTCATCCCATCAAGTGCCCCCCTGGGTGCCAATCACCCAGTCACCCCAAACTCCCGCCCACCTCCCTTTCCACTACCCCACGTTCGTTTCCCAGAGTTAGGTGTCTCTCATGTTCTGTTACCCTCCTTAATATTTCCCATTCATTTTATCTCCTTTCCCCTTTATTCCCTTTCACTATTTTTTATATTCCCCAAATGAATGAGACCATATAATGTTTGTCCTTCTCTGATTCACTTACTTCACTCAGCATAATACCCTCCAGTTCCATCCACATGGAAGCAAATGGTGGGTATTTGTCGTTTCTAATGGCTGAGTAATATTCCATTGTATACATAGACCACATCTTCTTTATCCATTCATCTTTCGATGGACACCGAGGCTCCTTCCACAGTTTGGCTATTGTGGACATTGCTGCTAGAAACATCGGGGTGCAGTTGTCCTGTGGTTTCACTGCATCTGTATCTTTGGGGTAAATCCCCAGCAGTGCAATTACTGGGTCATAGGGCAGCTCTATTTTTAATTCTTTGAGGAACCTCCACACAGTTTTCCAGAGTGGCTGTACCAGTTCACATTCCCACCAACAGCGTAAGAGGGTTCCCTTTTCTCCGCATCCTCTCCAACATTTGTGGTTTCCTGTCTTGTTAATATTCACCATTCTCACTGGTGTGAGGTGGGATCTCATTGTGGTTTTGATTTGTGTTTCCCTGATGGCAAGTGATGCAGAGCATTTTCTCATGTGCATGTTGGCCATGTCTATGTCTTCCTCTGTGAAATTTCTGTTCATGTCTTTTGCTCCTTTCATGATTGGATTGTTTGCTTCTTTGCTGTTGAGTTTAATAAGTTCTTTATAAGATCTTGTACACTAGCACTTTATCTGATATGTCTTTTGCAAATATCTTCTCCCGTTCTGTAGGTTGTCTTTTAGTTTTGTTGACTGTTTCTTTTGCTGTGCAGAAGCTTTTAATCTTGATGAAGTCCCAATAGTTCATTTTTGCTTTCATAGATGTATCTTGCAAGAAGTTGCTGTGGCCAAGTTCAAAAAGGGTGTTGCCTGTATTCTTCCCTAGGATTTTG